ATATAATTATTTAATTTTATGATATAAAATTTTATAAATTTGACTCAATAAAAATGTCCTTATATTAAAAAATGTTGCAATATTATGTGATGATTTGATATCATAAACAGAATTTGAGAACAGCTAAATTTTGGTTATCTCAGCAGAAATTGAACATATTGCTAATCTTAACTAGCATTGTACAGATAACATTGGTTATTACTGTTAATGTATCCAGAATATTAAGAGTGTTGATAAAGCTAAAGATTGTTACATATAGTAAACCAAGTCCAAACTATCTATTAATAATCAAATGGTAACACTGGATTCATTAGGATATAACCTGCTAATTAAACATACAGATACAGTGGAACCTCGGTATACGTCTGCTTTAGAATACGTCCAATTCGGAATACGTCCTGTTTGGACAAAACAAATTTTGCTCGGTATACGACTTTTGTTCGGTATACGACTTAATTCAATTATACGCGCCATCTATGAACAAGTAGAACTATCGGTGTACTACACTAGACTAGACGTTCGCGGTGCTACGGTTTATAACTTTGTTAAATTTCTTCTGATTTTAATTTGTAAGTAACATTTTATTATTTTTATTAATCATGAATTGCAAAAGGGCAACAGAAAAATAAAAAAATGACTAGAATCACAACGGAACTGAAAAAAGAGATTGTTGAGAAATATGAAGGTGGCACGCGTGTTCGAGATTTAACGAGATTTAACTGTTGCATTCCGTATTCCGAGAACGACGATATCGACAATCGTGAAAAATAAAGACATTATTAAATTTGCTAACGTTGCGAAAGGGGTTAAATCAATTTCTAAACAGAGATCGAAGACATTAGATCATGTCGAGAAATTGCTTTTGCTTTGGATAACTGAAAAACAGTGTGCTGGCGACAGCGTATCGGAAGAAATTATTTGTGAGAAAGTTAAAAGGATACATGTTGATCTCATGAAAAATCAAGCAGAAACTAGCGAGGAAAGCGAGGTGTTTAAAGCCAGCCATTTTTTTTACATGAGAACGGATTAATCATTTTTACATTATTTCTTATGGAAAAGGTTGGTTTGGTATACGTCCTATTCGGTATAAGTCCAAACACCAGGAACGGATTAAGGTCGTATACCGAGGTTCCACTGTATTATGTAATTTGAATTAAAGGCAAGTGATTAATTAAGTTGCCATCTTGTATTAAACATTTAAAAATAAAGTTAATGATTATAGTAATATTTTTTATAAAAAAAGATCTTACCTGTAACATTATAATTATTATATATGGCATCCTGTAATAAAATATGATCACATATCTCATACTCAAATTCTTGGCCATCGAAAGTTCTAATACGTTTTCCTATTACATCACAAGATCCATTTTCTATTAAAAAAAATAATAAATAAAATATTATAAATATATTAAAATTTTCATATTTAGCAACTTTTTAACATTCAGAATGTACTGCCATTCTAAGATCTGATAACAAAGCTGGAACAGATAATTTCAAAATCAATACCATTCAACTTTACCAGCAGAAGGTTTATTCAATAAACAAACACACAAATGTTTTGGTTTATTTTATACACCTGCCTCAGGCTTATCTTTGAATTACAAATTCTGAAATTCTAAATTGGAATGTTTCAAACATTCTATCTGATAGAAAGTATCTGAAATTCAAAGCTAAACCTGAGGCAGGTTTATAAAATAAACTGAAAATGTTTGTTTGTTCATTTACTGAATAAACCCTCTGCTAGAAAAGTGTGAATGGTATTGATTTTGAAGTACAACCATTCAGCATGTTCAGAACATTAAAAGAGAGGTTGAAGGAACAGATATGATACAGTGACAAAGTCATCATAGTGCTTGCAGACAGGGCTGGATTGTCTATCTGGCTGCTGCCAGAGAGGTCAGTACCCTCCAGAACTAGTTAACATGCACTGGATTTATATCCTTTAGAAATGTAGAAAGCATAACATGAACATTTTCAACTGGTTGACCTGAGAGTATGACAAGTACATTACTATCTCCTCTGTCGCATGTGCTTAAATAAAAAGAGCAATATACTAAAGTATACCATACAAATTCACAAAAACACATTTTTACAAATACTTGATCATATATTTATACAGATAATATCCACACATATAATTAGTGCTCTTTTTCTGAAAAAATACTAGAAGTATATGTAGCAACTAAAAATAAAAAAAAAAAATTAAAATTTTGTTATTTTGAACCCAATGAGGGCCTATGAATGAGACTGAAAATGTAGTTCAGTAAAAAGAATTAAGTAATGAAAAAATAAGATGTTCGTGTATGAGTTTTGATACTTTTTCCAGTTTGTTTTATTTGTTATGACTAAAAATAAAGTTCTGTTTTAAGAAAAATATAACAAACTAAAAAGCAGTGTTTAATACTACTAATTATCCCTTTTTTTCATTATAAAGATAAACAAAGCTAGACACCAACCAATGCCAAATTCTATTAGACTATATTACTAAATAAATTATGTAACCAATTTGGCATTAGAGGGAGGCATTAGGCACCATCTCTTAATAACTTTAATAATTATAATTTTTAATTAATTAATTTAAAAAATTTAGTGCTAAATTGGTTGCATAATTTATTTAGTAATATAGCTGTGTCTAGCCCGACAGAATTTGGCATTTGTTGGTGTCTAGCTTTACAGTATATTGGGTTTAGCAATGTTGTTTATTTATAAAAATAAACATTTATGTTGTAGCTTTTATAGTATCTTCCAAATGTTTTGTATATCTCCATCTACACTTTCTTTCCTAATTCTTGTTTTGGACTTAGTGTCACTTGTTAAATGGTGCCCTTTTAGTAATGACATTTTTACCTTTCCCTTAACAAAATATTATTATTACTGCTTCTCTATATCCCGTTTTTTTGACAAGAATGTAGAATGGACAGACAATTACCAGATAGTATTGGGGCTGTCCATAAATGATGTCAACATTGAAAGGGGGGAGGGAGGAGGGGGTTATGACAAGTCAGACAAGGGAGAGTGGAGAGGTTGAGCTTCAGTGAATGTCTGTTTATTTCATTATGTTTACTTCAAAATTTCTTGTTTGTTTTGTTTCTATTTATGGTATCTATCATTAAAAAAATAATAAAGGTTTTAAGGAGGGTTGAATTTTGTTGAAAAGGATGTCTGAAGAGAGGAGGGGTTACAGAAACTTGAAGAAATTGGGATAACAGGGGAAGGGGAAGTAAAAATTTCAAGAAAAATGTAGACATAATTTTTGAACAGTCCTTGTCTGATCACTAAAAGATGGCTTCCAACAAAAGTCTCTACTCCATTTGTTTTTTTATGTCAGCTCCAATTGACCCACAATATAGTAAAACCTCATTATTTCAATATCTGATAATTCAAATTCAAGTCTAGTTCCTGGCCAGGGAATAGGATTTTCATATATTTTAGTTCAGATAAAACCTGCAAAAAAATATGTTTTAATCTGAAATCTCCTATTACATTATGTGTTTATAAGGAAAGTTTCCACACTCAAGTGGCATTTTTGGTTTCTGTTTTACCAATCATATATTGCTGATTTATTTCATTCAAGGTCATTCAGACATTGTACAGCATTGCCAATCAAGAGATTTTAAAAAAATTTTTATGAAAAGAATCTATTTGGATTTAATTATTTTGTATATTTTTGCAAAAATCTATTGTTAAAATAATTCTAAAGTTGATTAAATAAATTTGAGTATTCATGATAGAATGCATATTTATAGCTTTGGCTGTTAATAGAGCTTGTTTTCATCAGATAACATGAAAACCATTGAAAAATTAATAAAAAATAAATATGTGCAAATGTCATTTCAATTGTTATCTTTTTTCTGTACTAAAATTCATGGTTAAATTTTTTATAGTTTACTTTAGTATTTATCACCAAAAACTGTGATTTTGTAACTTTTTCACCAAAATAATGCAGTATTATGAAACTACAGAAAATGTTCACATTTTATTTTCAGGTGTTCTTCCATCAGTGTCAAGGAAACTATTATTCCTTTACATGACATGATGTTCCTATCAATTTCAAAATTTAGTGTGTAAATGACTTTTTTTACATATTTTCAGGTCTTGTTTTGAATATTATTTGGTTACATTTGAAAGACTTTCAGACTTTCAACTTTCAAATGTTCTGTTTAACCTGGCAATGGTTATTTAATACTACTGAAAATGTTTGTTTTAAATTAACTTTTTACATTTTGTGCTAGAGTTTTAGGTTTTGTTGGATATCTATAGGCCTACTTGTTATCCAATGTACTAAAGTTGTAAAGTTTCATTAAATCTTTCAGTGGAGTAAAAATATGCTATTTATTTTGCATTATTTCTATAATATTTAAATCTATTCTTTGAAATAATAGGCTAATACTAAAGTTGTTGCCAGGTAGTGGTGCATCACCTGCTTTTACAAAAAGATATGTTATAAAAGAAAGATGAGAGCTACAGTACAGTACACACATAAGGAATAACAGCTTCACTTTTGAAATTTCCTATTAAAATAAATGTCAAACACTTCAAAATATATTTGTAAGGAATATACATCATGAGCCAGAGGAAAAAAAAACCAATTAAATGAACATTTTACTTTCAAATTTAAATTTTAAAATGAATAAAAAGCTTTTATCCTATAAGAATGGGATAAATGCTTATAATTGTTATAAGTTCATAATATCATATGTAATTAATAAAGTACTGAAAAATTTACCTGGAAGTCCAATTTCAGGCATCACTGTAGAAATTATTTCTTCAGGAGAAGTTGCTAAAGTAAATATTTACTATAAATTTTACTGTAAATTTTTAATTATAAGTTAATTTTAACTATCATTATTTATTAACTATAAATTTTATAATTGTCATATTTCCTAATTCTAAGATGCACCATGAATTTAAAAATAAAATTTTAAGAATTTTTATGAAAAAAACTTATTTAAATAATTACTTCCATTAAGTTTTCTTAAGTAATAACAAGTTAGAAAGCAATACAAATGCCAGAAAATAGATAATACCTGGCAGCTCTATTTTAATGCTTCTCTGTATATAGAATAACTTTTCTATTACTATTGCATAATCTGCATTATCATTAATATAATGTAATATAATTTCAAAATGTGCATTTTAAACATTAAAAAAATTTTAAATTAAATGCTCATTACTGAAAAACTCATTTGAACATATGTGATTGACTACAGTATGCTCAGAAATATCTAATTTAAGCAGTATGCTCAGAAATATCTAATTTAAGCAGTATGCTCAGAAATATCTATTATTAGTCAATCATGTAGACCTCTTGGCTGCTGATTGCTGTTTAGAACTATAGTTGTAAGATGTCATTGATTCTAAGACATATCAACAAATAAAAATAGATAAAAACATACCTTAGAATCAAGGAAATATAATATGTAATATTTTATATTTAAATATATATAGTTATAAAAGTCATTAAAAGAAAAGTTATAAAAATTGCAGTATATTATATACTGTAATTTTTAACATTTCAAATATCAAACATAAAAAAAAAACTAATAACTTTCATTTTAAAAAAACAGTTAAAAAGTCAAAATTTTTCATGTTTTTCTTTAAACATTATATATAATTGAAATACTAAATTCCATTGACTAAATTCTAACACCATTATCATATTTAAAAAACTTTTTATGTTTTATACCTTTATTTTTGTTTCATCATGTTTGTTATTTATTTTACCAGGTACAGTATGTTGTGTGGGAGTTGGCAATCATTGTCTTAATGACATTGCAAATAGTAATGTAAATAAATAAATAAATAAACATAAGACTGCTAATAAACTTTATAAGCTGTTTCATTTATCATGATTAAATGTTTTTTAGATAATTTATGTCCCAACATTAAATCACAATTGCCAATGAAATAGATTAAATATGTTTATATGCATAGTGTTTACCAGTAATATGTTACATACTATGTTTATATTAGTATATAACAACTCTACATTATTAGTATCTCATAATACCTTTTATTAATATGTATAATTTATATTCTATCATAAACATTTTTAACAATGTTTATGATCTGATGATGAGATGTAAATTATCCCAAAAATGATTTTATCATAACAAATAGAGATTATATGAGCTTTATTAATAGTCTTGTCTTTTAATTAAGTAAATACTAAATTCTGTATATATGAGTTTTAACCTTACAATTTCATTTGAAACTTTTGAAATCATAAGCTTACAACTCATATATACTATATATACAGAATTTACGTATTAATTTAATGATTTTGATTACATGCAAGAACCTTCTTGAAAGTTGTGTTTATTCCAATGGCTGCAAAAGTTAATAGATGTAATAAACAGATGAACAGAATGTAATAAATATTATGTTGATTAAGGTAATCAGACAAAAGCACCAGTTTTTGAAATATTCAAGTTTATTCTAACATTTAAATATTGTGTTTTTACAAAATATTTCAAAACAAAGATTAAATATACATTACAAGCCATTATTTTTTGTTTTAAAATAATGTAAATTATTTATAAATTTTCATTGACATTGCATGTATGTTTAAAATAGTGTGTTAAAATTGAGAATCTTTGTATAAATGATAATCCTTCCTTTATATACTCAACTAACTGACATCTAATTGCGAATTCCAGCACATAATAAACAAAGAAATTTTAATGTTGAAACGTTTTCAGCCATCTTTTAGAGGCCCTCATCAGGAATGAATGCACAGAAAACAAAAACACGGCTGAAAAAGTTTGAACATTAAAATTTCTTTGTTTATTATGTGCTGGAATTTGCAATTAGGTGTCAGTTAGTTGAATCCTTCCTTTATAACTAATTTTACTTTTGGCTAGTATAAATTAATTTCTGTCACTTGAAAATTAACTTTATTATGGATTTGAAGAGTTAAATAAAGCAATAAAACAAATACCAGAATCCAGAAAAAAAAAAACCTTATAGTAGCAAACATTTTCTCCCATGTTAAAAAGTCATTGTCAGGCTAGAGATCTTTGAAAAAAAACAAAGTGCTGGAATTCTAGGGTAAAAAAATAGAACTTCTTTCAAAAGGTGGTTGCCATCGACATAGTGCAGTTGGATGATGTAGGAGACAAATGTTAAATCAAAAAATCTAATAGAACATGTTTTGTACATGGGGAAGGAGTCTGCCTCTTTGAAGTTGATTGCCACATTTCTTCAGTTTTTTTTTTAAAATAAATCTCCAAAGTTTCAAATATTTGAATTATTACTTGTGATTGGTACAGAGGCAGGCTTGGTCAAAATGAACCACAATATTGGAGTCAGTGGTGTATGCAACTAAGGCTGTGGTCATAAGCCATTTACTGACGAAAGCCCAAATAAGGTGGGCGTTCAATGGTTAGCCTGTAGTTCCCATGTATTCTGAATAGAGGATTTGATCCCGGGATCTCGAAAATCGGGATGCCGACCACTTTTCAGTCCCAAAATTATCGGGATTAAGTTTTCCTAATCCCGAGATTTTCGGGATTGACATCATTTTAAAAAAAGTTGCAAAATAGACTGCATGAAGTGAAATGTTCTATGCCAGTGCTTTTAACAGAATTGCTTGCCTATCATTTTAATATAAAATACAAGAAATTTTATTCCAAGCAAGCAGCAGAAATTAACCTAACGGGCTTGCGATGCTTGCTTGGAATAAAACTTCTTGTATTTTAAACTAAAATGATAGGCAAGCAGTTCTCACTGGGTTACTTGGTAATATACTTCATTTTTGTATTTTTGAATTTTCGCGGGCGCCAATTGATTTTCTGGCGCAGTCGAGAGCACTACTCAGTGCGTTTTACCTGTCAATGTGTCAGCCATTCTTGTTTTGCCAGTGTGGTTAATATAGACCCGACGCCTCTCGCTTAGGGGGGGTCAACCTTAGGTGAAAAGGTTATGACCCTCGCCTTGCCCGCAATCTGTCAGGATGATGCGAGAAAGCCTTTTTACGTTTCGGGATAGTGGTTTGCTGGACGCTGAGAGACTCACACAGAGACCAAATTTACAAAATTAACGCGTTTATTTTTTGAGAAACATGACATGCTTACAATGATCGAAACAATCGGGATTGTAGCCTTTACTCCTACAATCCCGATCCGTGTCGACCGGACTGTTTTCTTCCATCCTCCCCGTGTCCTCGAAGCTTATAAGTATTTACTAACGATTCCTCCAACTTCCATCAAACCTAAACGCGTTTTCTCAGCAGCTGCATATATGTGCAACAAATTGAGAAGCAAACTTGGTGATGAGACACTGGATGCGTTGTTATTTCTCAGATCATATTTTCGCAATTCAAATTAGAATGTTCCTATTAGATTAGTTTTCTTTATACAGTATTTGAGAAAAATGTGACTGATTAATATTATTTTTAAATACTTTTTGCTAAGAAACTTACTTTATTACCTACTTACTAGGTTGTTATATGAAAGTAGTCTATTTAGTCGATGTTAAGAGAGATTTTTGTGAATTTTCAACGTTTATTTGCATAGTTCGTTACATAAAGGTTTTTTAAATTTATGTGAGTTTAAAGAGATCTCAGTGATGCTTAAAAAAGAATAAATTTAACATGAAGACAGTGATTTTAAGTCTGGTTAGTCTGACTGTAAGTCTGATTAGTTAGAGTAATTAAATTAACTAGGTGTATACCGTAAAATACGTTGATTTTTGTCTAAATTTTGATTTTTGATTTCTGTAAGATTTTCTTATTTTTTATTAACCCTCAATACCGAAATAATCCCGGGATCCCGGGATTGAATAAGTATAATCCCGAAATCCCGGGATTAGAAATAAAGACCGGGATCGAATTCCCTAATTCTGAACTGGGTCCACACAAAGTTTACCAAGTGAAGTTGGGAAAGTCTTATATGGTTAAGTCGAGAAGATGATGCAGACACACAAGCACAAATAAAAGACAGAACTCAAACAATCTTTAGACAGCTACAGAAGGACAGAGAAAAGAGAATGCAAGTGAATAATTGGTGGAGAAAAGTCTAGTATCCTTGATTCTGCAGTTTATATAGGATTTTTAGTGACTTAATAGTTCTGACTGGTTTAGATCAGAGCTGTCCAACCCATGGCTTGCCTGTGGTCCAGCACTGTAATGAATGCAGCCCAACATAAAATCATAAACTTCCTTAAAACATTGAGATTTTTATGTACTTATTTTTTAATTTTTTGAAATTTTTGCAGTGTTGTAATATACTTTTTATTAAAAAAAATTGTCACAAGATGCCATTAAAGTATCTTTAAAAATAAATGTTGAGTATATTTCTTAGTAAAGCACTTAAATCCACATTGTTAAAAGTCAGTTAAGCTATTTCTGCTTTAAGTCAGCTATTGTAATGCTAGTGCAGCAAGGTTCATAAATGTTAAAGACAGAAGTTAAGATGGCTATCACCATAAATTATATGCATATTATGTACTGTACCTCAAATGAAAAGATTTGACTACTTTGCACCAAAACGGGCAACCCTTTTTTAGTTTGGCACATTAGCTACTTTTTGGCTATGTTACTGTGAATGACCGATATCTGGCGAATGTCAGCATTCACACAGTCGTTTCGTGTAGATATGAAATATTTGTTAAATATCATTGTTTCTCACTTACACCAGCAAATGACGACATTCAGCATGCACTGATGGTGAATGTTGAATAAAAATATTTTTATTACGTTAAGTCAAAAATGCAACTTTTTAATAAAATAGGAGAAAGCTTAAGTAACAGCACATGTAAATAAACTGTTGAACCTAAAACGAACAGTACATTCTTAATCAGAAAAGAAAATAATGCGATAATAAACTACACATAAATTATGTGATTAACGTTATACAATCTTATTTATTGCAACAACTTAAACTGTTGTGACATTTTGAATTTAATTGCAGGAGAGTCACTTGCTTTTACAACTGCATTTATTCGTGGAACACTTCTTATTTCAATGACAGCGTGTGTAGCCTTGCCCTCCACTTTTTGAATTAGCTGCAGCTGCTTCTCTAGGCGATATTTCTTGAGAAGAAATATCATCTATGGAAAGTAACTTTTCTTTACAAATTACGAACTGATTACTTGTATAAAGCTGTTTGAGGGTACCATTTTTGTTTGCTAATTTATAAAAGTCAGAGTCTTCTATTCCAACAACAACCACCAACACATTTCGGGCATCTGTATGGCCACGGTCGACATCAGGGGCTTGTATTCATATGGTATAACCAATTTGAGAAGGAAACAGCGAAGAATTTGGCGACAGACTGTCGCCTCTCTGTCGACATCGGCTTCTCGGGTGTCGTTTCGACTTCCACCAAAGCTTATCTGTGCTTGTCGACATACACCAGCAAATGTTCGAATGTATAATAATATAACCAAATATTCGGTCTTTCACCAACGTATTTTGTATGTGTCGACATTCACCGGAGAATATCAACATTCTCTAATTTCGGTCTTTCACAGTAACAGCTACATAAATTATTTCATCATTTGTTTTGGCCTAGAATACCAAGTCTACTTGTATCATCTTTACATGTAGTTTTATAGTTTATGTGCAGCCTGAGAATTTTTTCTTCAAATGTGATTCAAGGAAGCCAAAAGGTTGGACACCTCTGATTTAGATCTTTCCTCACTTCTCAATTGGTCACAACTCTATTTCCAAGTGTAACAAGACTGAGATTAGGACATGAAAAGTCAATCCTCCAAGTACAATCTGATATCTCATCTCGACTCTGTCTATGAATTATTTATTGAACCTTAGCCCTTTTTCTTACATTTTAATCTATTGGTGTTTTGATATTATGACAATCAAGAATTTTAATGATTCTGTTATGAAGTACTCCCTTCCATCTTCTTCTCCCTTAATCCAATAAAGTTTGGGTTGGGCCATGGACCAAAGATCTCCATTTCTTTCTATCCTTCCACCACTCCTCTGCAAACATCATTGTTACATTGTCAATCCTTTTTCTTAGATCTTCAGATACCTTGTCCCTCCACAGTGGCGTACTGTAGTGGGGGGCAGCAGTGGTGGCACTTTTTAGGGGGCGGCAAAATTTCACAATAAATAATAATAACATCTTGTAAAAATTTAAAACATCCTAAACTATACTTGCATTGCGCCTATGATAGTGCTAGCATCCGGGAATCAGGGTGAACTAGTAATTTTTTTATCCAAGGAAATCCTGCGAAACCTGTTGACTTTTTTTTTTTTTTTTGCTTGTACGATTCATTCGCGNGATAGTGCTATCGTCCGGACAGTCCGGGAATCGGCTCGCCGGCCGGGTGAACTAGTAATTTTTTCATCCGAAGAAATCCTGCGAAACTTTTTTTTTGCTTGTACGATTCATTCGCATTCATATACACCACTAATATCCAATAGAACTATTTTAAACAGGTCGCTGCACCACTACCACCGAATTTTTCATTGCTTGTTCTGTGACAAAACTGAATTTCGGTCTTTTAAATTGAAATACCTAAATAAGGGGAGCAAAATTTTCCTCCGCCCCAGGCGGCTGACACCCACCGTACGCCATTGTCCCTCCACCTCTTTCTGGATCTTTCCCTAGGTCTTCTCTCTTCTATCTCCTTCTCCAATGCCAACTTTGGTATTCTCTTGTCTTACACTGTCTTGCTATGTCCAAACCATCTCAGTGTAATTTGTCCTGTTTTCTCCCCCATATTTTTCATTCTGTTCTTTCCCTTATTTCTTCATTCCTTATATCCCGGATAAGGAATGAAGAAATAAGGGAAAAAAACGGAATGAAAAATATGGTCTCTTCTGATCTTACTTAGCATGCCCTTGAAGAATTTCATGATGTCCATTTAAAATGAATGAAAATGTTTAAGTACATATATTGGACTTTTACAACTGGTTTTGTTGTTTTTTGTGTGTTCATTTCTAAATACTACCAGTTTTAACAAAGTTATTGTTATATATATTGATAGATTCTATTTCCAGTTTGGAGGTAGGAACTATCAAAAGAGGAAAAGTTTGATAAGATCCCTAATAGCTGGGATATTCAAGAGTTGGTATTTAGGACAATGGAACAGAAAGTGTTGAGAAAGTATGGAAATCTAATGAAATTTTGCTGATTATCAAAACAGATCAGATTGACAAACAAAAAAAAATCACATACATCATAGACATACCAAAAACCCACAATACTCAAAATATGTACATTGACTAAAATCTTCTCACTTGAGTACTGGAAATATATAAATTAAAACTCCAACACCTTTAAATGTCCAGTCGTAATCAATTTAATAATAAACAAACGTTTTCGACCGTACTCTCGGTCTTCATCAGGCTTAAAATCCATTAGATTCAAACCTGTGGTTCGAATCTAACGGATTTTAAGCCTGATGAAGACCGAGAGTACGGTCGAAAACGTTTGTTTATTATTAAATTGATTACCACTGGATGTTTAAAGGTGTTGGAGTTTTAATATGTACATTGAAAAATTAATAAATATTCAGAATTCACCAATGAAATAAAAGTTGAATGAAGTAAAAATAAAGAATGAATGAGTGCTTATAGTCCATTCTTGCACACACATCCTACCACATAGACTGCACAAAAGTCTAGAAACATTTGGGTTTCACAATAGCACATACAACATAATATAGAAAGCTACTGTACTAAACACAGGTCAAATATTCAGAAAATTCTTAAACACAGGCACATATATAAACAGCATGTACAGTTTGACCACCCAGGAAGGCACTTCCCTTAGGCATTGGACTACTTTACTAATAATCATTCACAGGGATGAAGTATAGCAAGAATCAACTGGCATCTGGTTGACATACCTAATGGGTAGAGGGTTAAATTATGCTGACCAATCATATGACGCATCTTTACCCCTGCCAATGACCAGTAAAGTAGTTCATTGACTAAGGAGAGTGCCTTCCTGGATTGATCAGACTGTAAACAAAACATTTTTTCCTATGTCATTGGTCCAGCATAGCACTAAGCACTAATATATATGCCATATACGCTTAACTCTACACATACCACAATAGTAATAATATATCATCATCATTAATAAACATATTACTGTTATAAATATAAATAAAGGAAACAGAAAAAGCTTACTGAAACAATTAATTTCATCATCAGGACAATCCATAATGTCATCACACCATTTATCTTTTAAAATGCATTCATTACTAGTAGGACATAAGATTTCATCTTCTTTACAATTTTCACATATACATGAACAATTTGAAAGTAATTTTGACACTTGTCCCTAAGATTAGAAATTTAAGCATTCTATTAAGAACTACAATTTACATTTTAAAAATTTATAAGATTTATGTAAAAATGATACTGTCGTTTTTAGAACAATATTTATTAGAAATAAAAATTTGAGTAATAAAATATCATTATTATAACTGCTTAACGTATAATAAAGTAAATTTAATCAAATAGTTTAGTTTCAGTATTTTCTTCAATACATTCATTTTTAATTACATTACATCAAACATTACATTAATTTTGCTATTTATATTAGTTACATTAATAAATTAATAACTGGTTAAATTAGAATATTAAGCCAAAAAATATTATAATTGTTATTTTAGTTACATTATAATTATTTGTAATTTATTAATTTTTTAAAATCATTGACTTCAGATGCAATATTTACAGTTAGATTTTTCTTGATTACATTTCAACATTTGTAAGTTTATCAATAAACAAACAAATACATGGAAACAATAACAATATGTTAAAATATTTTGTTTATTACTTTATAATCAAATTTAAATTTTAAAACTATAGGAACTATCAATGAAATGCAAGGAATACACATATATCTGTGTGTTTGCTTATTTGTGTGTTTATAACAAATTCATAACATAATGAAAATATAGTCAAACATGTAAACAACAGCCACTAATGGAAACATAAATTGTACACCTATAAATTCCCACTGTCGTCCATCCATCCATCTTTCCTTAATCTCAAGAATGGGGTTAGATAGATTAAATCTGAGACCAGATATGGAAACCTTAGAGGCAGGAGACCCCAATTAACTATATGTAAACTTCAAATGCAAACTGGAAGTCAAGTTATTTCAATTGAAAACTTTTCCCCTGAAAGCAGTTAATAGATGACTGGCATGACTCCAGTGCTAATGGAAAAGTATGATGTACATGGGCAAGAAACTATAGTACTAATTTGAGGTGGAAAGCATATAATTTAATGCCAGGTTGTAATATTTTAATGGCATAATAAATAATGGCTCGTTACTTTTAACATTTGTACAAAAAATTCTTTGTAATTATCTATAAAGTCCTTCTCTAATATGCAAAGAACCCCAATAAAACACATAGATTGATCTTTTATTATAAGCTACTACCTATGTTATAATACACTGATGTCTAAAATGAAGATAACAAACACAAATTGTAAAATGTTTGGTATATTGGGATAAAACTTCATACAGCCTTCATGCTATAAAAGATCAATTAGTCATAAAAAATGAAAACAATAAATTAGCATCTGGAGATATGCACATTTTGCTAAGAGTATCTAAAGCATGAGGTAGCAAATTCCCAGAAAGAAGAGACTAATACACAGTGTGACCACCCCTGACAGATGTACAGCACCCATAACAAGTCATTTTACTTTTTATGATGTTCTGAAAAAAGCTTTGGGGCAAAAAAAATCCCTCTCTTTCACAAGAGTAGACTTTAGCTCATGGCAGGTCCTGGCAAGTTTGATGAGCTGCAATGGCCTCCCCAGAATATCCCAGACATGCTTAATCAGGTTCAGCTAGCTAGCCACTCCAACCTGCAAATATCATCATCTTCAAGGAAATCTGTAACTAGCTAAGCTTTTATGTGGCCTAGTGGTCCATAAAAATAAACTGGCGACCAATGAAATCCTGTAAAAGCTCAAGAATCTCTTCTCTACAGTGTTGAATGATAAAAATGCTTCCCTCAAAGACATGCATAAGCATTTAAAAAAGCCATGTCCCTGCATCTGACATGACATCATGTTTCCTGCATCCTGCCCACAATATAACACTGCCTCCATCATAGCAGTCATCTTCCCTAATGTTTCCTAATTTAGATAGCAAATAATTTTATGTAGATTCTGAAAATAAAGTACCACTCAAAAAAAAGTGCAATATTAATGACTTCTAAAAGTTTAAACCTCATTTGCTTACTTTATTTGACTTTATATTTTATTATTAATATAGTCTCAATATAGAAATATAAAAAATACTTAATTTCCTTGGCACATTTGTTCAGAACATTATCATATTAAAAACAATTTTTTCTTTTAAAATTTTCATTTTTTACTGCTAAATTATGAATGTAATATTTAGATTGATTTTTTTAAAATAGTTCTATATGTAAAAATCTTACATTTGAACATGTTCCACATGATTTTGCAGAACAAACAGAATGTCCTCCAAGAATGCACTTGCATTGTTGACATTGGCTGTTCTCTGAAAGTTCTCCAACCTGAAAATTAGAAATACATAGAAATTTAATTTTAAATTTAGAGTTATTATATTTAAAATATTTTTCAATTCAAAATCGTATAAAAAAAAGCTGTGTTTAAAGTATTGTCTCATAGTTTTAATACTACCATTTACTACTTTTTACTGAATGCAAATACTAAGACTAAAAAAGTAGTAATCTGAGAAAGAATTTATATAACTTCTTTTTTTGAAATTTCTTAATGTAATAATGATGGGAAAGAAGATATAAATTTTCATTTCTTGCCAAGAATTTATACTTCATTCAAGAACTTTGAATAATAATAATTATCTTCTTATCTTTTTATATGTTCTTACATTCCATTTTCAAGATTTTAAAACAGTCTTTCAATTCTTGTATGTGTTTATTTTTGTACTATTTGAGAATTCTACATATATATTTTTAAAATTAAATATTCAATATCATATGATAATGCCTACAAGCACTTCTGGCAGCATTGTGCATGGAATGGCAATTATACTTGGTTTTAGAATTGATAAATTGAGAATGTAAACCATGGAAAATCAAGTTATTTTCAATGGTTTACTAATGTTTTATACAAACTTACATTTGATTATAAGATGCTCAAATATAAGTTTGACAATTGCTTTAGAAAATTGGTTGCTGTCCTCAAAATAATCTATAGTTTTGTTCTGAATCAAGTTTTATATTGAAATATTTGGCTGCAATTCAAAACATTTTGCAGTTTTCCTTGTTTGAAAAATAGAAAAGGTTCTTGGGCTGCAATTTGAAAAAATTGTAGACCTATAAATTCCCATTGTCATCTGTCCATCTGTCTTTCCTTAATTCTGAGAATGGAGTTAGAGAGATAAAATCTGAGACCAGATATGCAAACCTTAGGGGTAGGAGGTCCTGATTAACTATATACAAACTTCTGATGCAAACAACCGGAAGTCACATTATTTCAATTCAAAACTTTTCCCTTGAAAGAAGTTATAGATGGTTTGCATGACTCTATTGTTAAAGGAAAAGTATGATGTACAGAGCAAGACACTACAGTACTAATTTGAGGTGGAGAGCATACATTTTAAATAAAATTAATTAAAAATTGCAGCCTAACATTGTGACAATGCCACAATAAATAATTGCTCATTGTGTAGAAAAACAGTTTCCCTAAAGAAGAAAATATTAGTGTTCACTTTCAGTTTATCAAGTGTTATTTGAATTGACTTATGTGCAAAAACATTTTGATTACTGCTTTGTTTGATTTTCATTCTACCACTAGGAAGTCTTTTTCCAATATTGGAATCATAGTACACTTTTAAATTAACTTTCATGCCACAGTCAATTCTTATGTAACTGTGGCTATATCTTACATCATGATATATTTTGATTATCTCAAATATTGCCATCTTCACCTCCTCAATTGTATTCAATTTTATCATAATGGTCTTTAATTTTCAGTGACAACATTTGATGCAGTTTGTTTGTTTTTTTTTTACTATTGAGATGAATTTTGATTCTATTTTCTATCATGTTTACAGCAAATTGTTGTTGTATATTATGCATATTCAGATATTTTATCAACTTTTTGAAATTATTTAGCATATTCAGTTTTTTAATCCACTTGTTTTTAAATGTACTTTCATAATGATTCTTTTTTTCTTGGAAATTTTACACTATAAAAATAGAAGTATCTAAAAATAATTAAAAATAATAATATAACAACAAATTAAATTAAAATAAGCAGCTTTTCCTTCAAACTGATTACTGAATTTATAATTATAAATTTAAATTACAAAGTTTCTGCTATAACATTAAACCCATCTGATAGTTACAAGCAATAGTAATAATTCAGAGGTTATTTTACTGTGTTTATAAAACTTTTGTTTAATTTCACTAAATTGAGCAATGTTTATTGATCATTTACAATAATATTACACTTTGAAAATACTTATGTTCTTCACATAGTTTTATTTTTTTACTCATCACTATAAAATGACATAAATAAATATTAAGCATTAGAGATTGAGTTTAAAAAGCTCTGTCACACAACTAAAACTATCCACTGTCTTTATTCATATATTGTGCTTTAGTATAGAATACTTCAACTTAAAAAATTATTAATTTTATATGAATCTTTTAATATTAATGCATTTTTAAAATACTTGTATATAAAGTTTCTAGCATTAAAAATTCAAATAGTTTTTAAATTATTTAATATGATTCACAGACCCAAAGAAATAATAACTAAATTTAAAGCCAGAGCCAAGCCTTCAAAATCTAGAAGAGTGGCAACACTATTCTGAATAAAACTTACCTTAAATACTTTGTCATGTTGTACACAAACACAATCAACTGGATCCACACAATCAATTCCATTACAAAGAAATCCTGATGGGCAACTCACTGGACAGTTTTTTGCCATGTATTCCGGGAGTTCAGGACATAATGGTGGATGAGATTTCTTTCCATCATCTTTTACTGTAATTAAATAATTTGCAACTTATAAATAATTACAAATAAAAGTTTTTGTTGCATTTGAAATTACATTATTTTAAAATTATTTTAAAAATAAAAATAATAGATAAAATTTAAAATCATATAAAATAAAATTAAAACTTTTTTTATAAAAATTTTGTATTATACCTTTATTTATGTTTCAATATTGAGTATTTTTAATATCATAATTGCTAATTAGTACCTACATAAAAATAATTTTGGTTCTGTAGAAAAATATACATTTCACAGCATACAAGCAAAGATTAATATATATATTAATGATTGGATGATTAATTGGAATTGGGATTTGGAAAAATTGGACATTGTCCGTAACCAAAATTGGAATCAGAATCAAGCAAATCTTGTCACAATTTCTGATTCTTAAAATGATTCTTCCACATTTAACAAGAAAATTAATTATTTGTTTTAGTCAAAGATTAAAAATTTTTTAAATTATTAACAATTAAGTATTAGTTTATTGGAAACTTTCATTTCAACAAAGCAGAGAGTATGCAATGCCCCATACAAGGTGATGTTTATGGAAAACTTCTTTCTTTAATACAGTCAGCACATTCATTCATTCATTATATTTTATTGGTACTGAAGTATATAAGTACATACCCTGGTACCGCTTTGGCATTACCAGGGGTTAGAAACAGAAATATATTGATTACAGAAAAATAAAATACTATAAAATAGTGGATAACATGATATAAGTGGATATAACAATAAGATATGTACAATGCTCGCGTCAGGCTTGCGCATGCAGAATAGCTTGACAGACATTATGGGTCATCAGCCTTGGACTTACATGGCTGGTAATAAAAATTATTAGGTAGATACTTTACATAATTGTAAATAACAAGTAAAGTTTATAAATACATTAGATAATAGAGTAAAATGATACAAATATAACAAAGTAATCTTAGCTATAGGTTAGGTTATATGTCACATAGCTTATTTGCTTACTGAGCCTTTCAAAGGCCTTATATACATCTTTACTCAACCATATGTCTGATGGTTTACAAGGCCAGCTTATCCCTTGTTCCTGTAGTAGAATTTGAAGCTCCAGTCTCTCTCGAGCTAGAATGGGACAGTGTAACAAGTAGTGTAATGCCCCGTCTTCTGTTTCACAGGTTGGACATAGCTTGGAAGTTCTATTGGTAAATCTTGCTAAATAAGTGGCATATCTGCCTGATTTGTCATTATCTGTGAGTTGTAAAAATTGGGGCTGTACCATTTATTTTCAAGAAAATTTTCCAAATTTGAGACAAAGCTGTAGGTTATGTGTTCTTTGTATTGATCCCATCTGGTTTGCCATTGATGAATAGTGTCTTTCCACAGAATATTGATAAGTGTACGTTTGCTTATCTTGCTGTAAGAAATGGGAAGAGTTTCTTTTTCTGCCGCCTCCTTTGCCAGCAGACTGCTTGGCAAAGCAGTCTGCTGGCAATGGGGAATGAGATAGCAATCTGCTGTCGGGGAATGATATAGCAATCTCATTCCCCGTTTCTCCTTGGTGTGCTCTTACCCAGAGGATATCAAAGTTGTTCATAGCTGAGAATATTGTTTTTCTTATTTTATCTGCTAATGGGTGTAGATTTCTACTTTTTATGATCTTAAAAGCAGAGAGAGAATCTGTGTGTATTTTTATATGTTGGTTATTGCAGGTAGAGTTGACATGTTCTATTGCCATGTATATCGCCCACATCTCCACTTGGAATACTGTGCAGTTATTGTGTAGCCGGAACTTTCGATGATTTATCTCCTTGTTTTCTTTGAATATCACGTAACTGCAGCCAACTTTATTGTCGTGTCTAGATCCATCCGTATATATATGAAGAATGTCTTCTTTTGTATTATTGTCAAAGTTGAAAAAGGATTTGTCTGGCGGAAGTGTCTCTCCTAGGTGAGAGGGCCACTCAATGTCTAGATGTCTTACATTTTGAGTGGTGGTTTGAATGTTTTCTCCCCATTTGAGTTTGTTAGTAAGTTGCTTTTGGTTGATGATGAGATTTATTGGCGGTTTCCTGGTGATTATTTGTAAACACACATTGCTAGTGGTGTGATATGCCCTTGAAATCAGCAAAAGGGCATGCCTCTGTGACGAGAGTAGTTTCCTTTTGGGGTGTACTTTGGTAATTCTCGATTTTAGGCTGTCCTGGGACAGCCATATAGAAAACATAACTGGACGCACCGGAATTATCTGTCAGGCCTTCGTCCAGATTGCCAAACAAAAATGGGGGCTTAACTCAAAAACTTTATCAATTATCTATGACAGTATATATATTCCAACTATAACTTATGCCTGTGGAACATGTGGTTGGGCAACAGTCAGCACAATGAGAGACTGCACTTGGTCAATATTAACTATCCCCATTTTAGGAGGACACATAATGAGTAGTTCTTTGAGTAAAAGGAAATTTGCTGTAATTTCTTTGACGATAGTGTTGCAATACTAACTTTATCTGAAACAAGATTACTATTTTGTAGTACACAATATAAACATGCATATCCATATATAAATGAAAAATTTTAATATTTCTTTTGAAAGATTGATTTTGTATTTTCCAGTCATTTTCTATCCTTAAACTTGACATTTATTAATTAATGAATGTACCATGCTCATAATGTAAATTATTAATTTTTCTAAACTAAATTTTAGAAAGTATTCAAAAGAATTGGAATCAGAAAAAATTTTGGTATTGTTCCATTGCTTATATATATTTAAAATCTTTCATTTTTAGAATATTTCTTCTTTATAATCTACAAATCATGCTATTAATAACTGCTGTATTTAAATCTCTACTTAAATTAATTTTGCTACAAATGTGAATTATAAGCAGAATTATAATTACTTGAAAAGATAATTAAGCACTCTATTAAAATCAAAGAACTATCTAAATCTAGAAATATCCAAAGAAAGATGACAAGTTCAAAAATTGAAAATATCTGAATAATTAATAAGGATCTCTAATTAACCTGTGCATAACAATTGTATTGTGAATGGCCTGACAAATGATGTTAGTTAGTCATCATAAATATTTTAAAAACATTTTGAAGTTCAAACAAATAAATTTAAATTTTACAATCCCCAATTTTACAAACAAGATGAGGGTTCATTCCCTTGCAGTCCTCCTGTTGTATCCACCACTGCAAAAAGAAGATTAATAACATGTTTTACATTAAACTTTGTCTTTTAATAAAAAGAGAATTTTTTGATGGTGTCTTTGGAAATATACAAGAAAAAGCCCAAAAGTTTCCAGCCTCACATAGTTGTATGAATGCAAACTCAAAAATATGTTGATACACATTTTCATATTCCATAATTATTATAATACTAGCTGCAAGGACCCACTTCGCTGGGTTTTTATTTGTATGTAATATAGTTTTTTTATATATATAAAAGACTGTTTTTTAAGTAATCTAGAATCTAGCTGCAAGGACCCGCTTCGCTGGGCAAAAAGTAACGCTAGTGAAGATTAAGATAATTACATTATAGCTAATCTTACCCGTTTTCACAGAATGCAAGAATTAGGTCCCCCGTTTCCANTACCATTCACTGTATTGTAATTCTGTTTTCTTTTCTTTAATAAATGACCGATGCGAGGCGCTCATGGGTTCCCATGAACCCTGGTTGACTATTTTCCTTCTCTCCTATATCACTTTAATTCCCCTTCACCTTAGCCTCTTCGCAACAAACTTTATCTTCCTCCTCTTCTAGTCTAAAACGGGCTATACCTTTGAGTTCGGCCTCGTTATCTTTCTCAGCACTGAATAATACATGCATGTTTTTTGCATAAAATCATGGCAAAAAGTCAGGATGTCTAGTTTATTTGAAACAAATTTAGTGATGCAACTGAAAAAGCTCAGGTTGCTTCCAGTTATTAATAATTTTGCTTATTTTGCTAGTAGTAAATTTCACTTATTAACTGGATAAATTTTCCTTATTCAAATGATTGTCTGTAGTCAATAGTTATGAGCAATAAATTTAAGTTATTGGTGGTCAGTTAGCAGTTTTTCACCTGCAATTCAAATTAAAAAAACAAAGAAATTTCACTTTCATTTAATTAGTAAGTTAATTAATTATAAAATGCATTAATATAAATTGCAGATAATTTAATTTATAAATAATTTAATTATTTTGCCTCAGTACTTTTATCTTTTAATACCATATGTATTTGTAAACTGAGTGCTGACATATTGAATGCTACAAAACAGTGAAAAATGCTATTGTGCTGCTTCCATAAATTAGTAAAATTTGTTTAATATGTAATAAGTAAAATTAATCAAATTTAAAATATTTTTTAAACCAGTATCTTAAAAAAGTGTGCGCACAGATTATTTGAGGCATGAATTATTTGAGTAAATATGATATTTTATGACTACTAACTCTCTTAGATATGATCAATAATTAATTGATAGAAGTTAATGCAGACTGCAGTGCAGTATAGAACTGCTGTAAAAAAAATGAAATTTTATAATCCATTGCAACTGGAGATGAAACTATGGTGTTACAGTATTACAATTTTTTGTCAAAAGAAAAAATAATTGACAAAATGGACTAAATGAAGCCTCTAGAAAAGCAAGGATTTAACCATTGACTAAAAAGTTGATGACTACATTTTTTGGGATTGTGAGCATATTCTGAGGATTAATTTTAAAAAGAGAAACACGAAGAGCAATTATTAGATTTCTTTATTACATAAATTGCAATACTTCATTAAAAAAAATTAGCAAACTAAGTTGAAAGAAGTACTTTGGCTCTTTCCTTTCAACATCACAGTTCATACTGCTACAGTGTCAAAGAAGACAATTCTTAATTGTGACTTCAAAAAAGTTAGCCATCTTTCCTATACCACAATATAAACCTCAAGTGACTATTGTTCATTTTGAAAACTGGAATCTAACTTAAGAGGAAAAATTTTCCAATAATGAAAAGTAAAGTCTGGCTATTTTAGGAAATTTTCATTCCAAAAATAAAAACTATTTCTACATTGGCATTAACATGTTTTTCACAGATGTAAACAGTATATAGACATTGACATATAGGGAAACTATATTAACAAATTATATAGGTTATTTCTTAAATTTTTCCTATTAGTCTATTTATACCAAAAACTTTTAGAGCATCCCTCATATATATATATAAATTGTATTGTATACCTTAATTTTAATCCTTTGTATCAATGGCCAACACTATTTGGTATACAAGTAGTTTTAAATTGCAATTTCAGATAGTTTTATGCTTTTTGTGTAATAACTGCTAATAACTGCTAAATAGCAGTTTGATAAAAATAATTCATTCACTTTATTCCTTAATATTCGACTCAAAGACATCCAGCAATATAACAGTTCAAATTTCAATAACAATGCATTAAAGCTTAAAACATAAAAAAATTTAGTTAAATATGAGTGTCATTCTGAAACAACATTATTTTTGACAATAAAATAATCAAAACTTTTAAAAATTAGAGTTATGTGAAAATAAAAATTAAATGCATCTATAAGAAATTTTAAAATATGATTCCTACTAATGCATGGAAAATTAAATTTTGTAACTTGTTCAAACCTAATGCATTCTCTAAATCAGTACTGAATAAATATTTTCTATAAAGTTCATGGCTATATTTCAGCCAGAACATACCAATATACCATAGTGACAGATAGCATAAGAAGTATTGGTAGCTATTACTTAATACAGACAGTTGCCCAATACAAACAATTCTATATATTTAGTCACCATACATGCAAACTCACAGTAAATTTCTTAGAAAAAAACCACTGATAAAGACCAATTCAAAAAAACAAACGAAAAAAATGTTACAAAATACACCATTTTAAGTGAAAAATTAACTTATGAATTTAACATTAATGATTAATTTTATTTTAGCTAAATAATTTTCATGTAATGTGAAAATATAAGATAAGTTTAGAAATATTAATATGATAATTTTATCACTTAAAAAAAATACATTAACCAGTTTCTATTTTTTAAATTTTAAGGATTTTATATTTTTACTACCTCTATTAGTCTATTTTTTATACATTTTAACCAAAATATTTTATTTTTACAGATATACTCTCTTATTATTTTTTTAACAACATTTTATTACATTGATTTATTTATACAATTTTAAATTTATTTTAGTTTTACTTGTCCTACCACACAGTTTTAATAACTAGTTATTCCAGTTCTCACTATAATTATTTTTAGTAATTAATTTTTGAAAATATTTGTAAGTAAAGTGTCACAAATCTTCTAATCCGAATACCAGTATTTTGAACAATCTCGTATTTACTAAACCTTTATTATCCAGTATTAAGTTTGAATATATTTTAAAACTAAGCATTCATTCTAAGAGTGGAATCTGATTGTTCTTTTAACCTGAAGCAGACCTCAACTGAGGCCGAAAACGTTTGCTTTTATGAATAATTAAGAAGTATCGGACAATAAAGGTTTAGTAAGTATGAGATTGTTTAAGTTAAGTGTAAATAAATAATTGTTAAATACATTTTGTAATTTCTTATATAGTTATATCAATATATTAATACATAATAAAATAAAGACTGAAGAGGGACATAGAGCCTGAAATGTATATCTGTTGTAAATTATAGAAAATAAATCTACTTTTTCCATCAAAAGGAATGTTCCTGTATAATTTGTTCTCAACAGCAACTTTATGCTAAGTTTCAAAGAATATACATATTCGATAAAAATTTCCAATTTTATTATTTAAGAATTTTTACCTTTGTCAAGAAAATTTAATATATATAAAAATAAAATATAAGGTAATAAATAATATTTAAATACTAGCTGCAAGGACCCGCTTCGCTGGGTTTTTATTTGTGGGGAAAAAGTAACGATAGTGAAGATTAAGATAATTACATTATAGCCAATCTTACCCGTTTTCACAAAATGCAAGAATTAGGTCTCCCGTTTCCAGACGTTTCCAGAGAATTTTTACATGAGCATAAAAATATGTTCGATTTCCCGCAAAAGCGCAAAAAACCGCCTGTAAATCTTGCATGCCGCTTTATATTAACACTTCCTGGTCCCGATTCTATTTCTGAACGTCTCCTGTTCACGTCCAGTCAAACGAACTATTTTCAACGTTTCTGGAACGTTTACGATCGTTCTATAATCGAACCAATATTCGAATTTTATGTTCGAATTTAATTCGAACAAAACATTCGAAATAGAAAGCCACTTTCAACCACTTTCAGCCTCATATCTCCTGCACCTTATAGCTATCGAGACACAACCACCCCTATGCATGAATGGAGACTTGGGGCTACCACCACATACAAACACAATTCACGTGCAATGTGTAGTTTTTGCGGAAAAGTGAAATATAGGGGCATAAATGTCCATTTATATATATATATATAGATATATAGATATACATTTACTTTACAAAAAGACCTTACACAATCCTTATGGGTTTTGGCTTTGAGTAAAATTAGCTGAAATTTTAGACTGATTGATCAAGTCTCAGAGGGCACAAAGCTTGAAAATGAATAGTATTTTAGCTACAGTCATTCAAATATAGTAGACCCCCCCTTATAACACTGTTGATAATTCTGTATTATATAAATTCCATGTTGTACAAGTCACTTAGATTTTACAAGTACGTGAGCCGTTCACAGCCTGGCACACATATTTGTAAAATCTAAGTGATTTGTACAACGTGGAATTCATATAATACAGAATTATCAACAGTGTTATAGGGGAGTCTACTGTATGTGGAAAGTGTATATAGAATATGGAAACAAAAGTTTCTCATTATTTCAATTATTTCAAAAAGTAATAGGAACAACAATTTCACTTAGACAAAAAAAAAATGCACTATTTATTTTTAATGCATCATTGAATATTAAGGGGAACCCCAGAAAAGCCAAATATGACAGGTAAATGCTTCACTTCAAACAAAGGACTACTGATGCATAACACAAATGCAATGTGGGAATAGTTAAGTTAGAAATGATATAATGATTAAGTTAGCACAACTTTATTTAAAAGTGTTTTAATATTTTTCTATTAAATCAGATCATTTTCATATCCATATCATTGAGAGTTTTGATCAGTCAGTCAAGAACTATAACATATTAAAATTTCAGCCAATTTAACTGATGGTCAAAACATATAAGGATTTGGTTTAGTTTGCTTTATTGAAAACTTCTGAAAACAGAAAAATTCTGGTTACATTATAGAAACTTTGATTTTAAATATAAGAATGATCATTATTATTTAGTTTTGTTATTTTATAATAAATAATATTTATAAATTTATTATATACTTATTGAATTTCAAAAATAAATAATACACCAAATATGAAGATTTTAATAACTTATTTACAATATAACTTTTAATAACTTACTACAAATCCAACATTTAATTCTAACTTCATAATTATTACAATAATCTTCCTTCTGATTTCTGTTTAAGCAATAGAGTCCATTGGTGAGATCACAAGATACTTTTTGTCCAATTGTTTTGTAACTCTGATGCGTCACATAATCTCTACATTCAATATCAATTGGATTTTTGCAAATGTTACTTGTAGAAATTATATCTTGAATATTTTCAAAATCACCAACAGATGTTGGAAGATTAGGATCTGAAAGGCTTAACCATGGACCATAAATTATACATTCATCTAAAAAGTAAACATATAGAAATTTAGTATTATTCTGTTATATCAATTCTTTAAAAAAATTATTAAAAATCTATTTGAAAACAAATAAAAATTTATATATTTTTNAAGTCTCAAATCTTCTAATCCGAATACCAGTATTTTGAACAATCTCGTATTTACTAAACCTTTATTATCCAGTATTAAGTTTGAATATATTTTAAAACTAAACATTCGTTCTAAGAGTGGAATCTGATTGTTCTTTTAACCTGAAGCAGACCTCAACTGAGGCCGAAAACGTTTGTTTTTATGAATAATTAAGAAGTATCGGACAATAAAGGTTTAGTAAGTATGAGATTGTTTAAGTTAAGTGTAAATAAATAATTGTTAAATACATTTTGTAATTTCTTATATTGTTATATCAATATATTAATACATAATAAAATAAAGACTGAAGNGTTTTTACGAATAATTAAGAAGTATCGGACAATAAAGGTTTAGTAAGTATGAGATTGTTTAAGTTAAGTGTAAATAAATAATTGTTAAATACATTTTGTAATTTCTTATATTGTTATATCAATATATTAATACATAATAAAATAAAGACTGAAGAGGGACATAGAGCCTGAAATGTATATCTGTTGTAAATTATAGAAAACAAATCTACTTTTTCCATCAAAAGGAATGTTCCTGTATAATTTGTTCTCAACAGCAACTTTATGCTAAGTTTCAAAGAATATACATATTCGATAAAAATTTCCAATTTTATTATTTAAGAATTTTTACCTTTGTCAAGAAAATTTAATATATATAAAAATAAAATATAAGGTAATAAATAATATTTAAATACTAGCTGCAAGGACCCGCTTCGCTGGGTTTTTATTTGTGGGGAAAAAGTAACGATAGTGAAGATTAAGATAATTACATTATAGCCAATC